AGAGAGAATTGCTGGCAACTACAACAAGATGAACATATTTGACCGTGATTTAATTGTAATACACGTTTCAAAAATTATGCCGAAGTAACAACATACTGATACCTGTTTGTAAAAACCATGAATTAATGCTTTGACAAGTCTGCAGACAGACGACAGGCAAAACACCTTTTAAAATACGTGTTTTCTAAATGGAGATCGGCTAAGCTAACGCAGTATATGCTCCGACCGTCCACACTCACAACAACGGCCTATACAGACATAAATAAACCAGCGACTGTATTCGTCCATTACACAGACAGTCTGTGGTTTGTACTTGTTTAACTTTTGTCTAGTTTCTGAACAGATATGAGGAGATGTGAGCTCTGAGGGCTAACAGCTAACGGCTGATGTTGTTTTTCTGTGGTTCTCATTGAAGATGACGTCACGGCTCCGCCTACACTGCGTTACTATAGTTACTGCCCCAGCTACTAAACTGTAATGGAAACGCAGCATAAAGTGAACCAGTCCTAACAAGGCCTAAAGAGGCCTAGCCATACAGAGCAAGGCCGAGCGAGGACCTGTAGTGGAAATGCGCCATTACATTCACAGGAAATTGAATCTACTGTAGGAGGCATATTGTATTTGTTAGGGAACTCAGAGTAGGGGGACTATACTTGATATAAAGTAAGGCTCTTTGTGTCAACTGTTGATGGTAAAAACAAAAAACTCTCAATTTCCCTGACTTGTTCAACAAACCTAAAATTAAACATAACTTCAGGACGGTTCGGCCTTGGCCTACTAATTCTGGTAATTTCTTGCTGTTTTGTTGTTGGTGCTGTTCTCTCCTCCAGTATCGAAAGGTAATGTTGAATGGTAAATGGGCTACATTATATTTCCAGTCTTTACGGCCCCTCAAGGTGCTTTTAAGTCTACGAGGCAGCATCACCCATTCTTACACATTTATAGAGAGGCAGAAGCTGCCATACAAAGTGCCACCTGCTCAGAAAAGCTAAAATTCACACACACCGTTGGCCATGCCATCTGGAGCCATTTGGGGTTAAGTATCTTGCCCAAGTAAACATCGACATGTTGACTATTGGTGCTGGGAATCGAACCACCAACCAACCTTGGCAGACGACCACTCTATCTCACAGCCCCAACCGCCCCTGGGAAATTTTCCAGGAATTTGATCCAGTTTTGTAAGTTGCATAACACCATGAACTGCATAAATATGTCACATATTAAAAGGCAAACTGTATATTCAGACATGATGAAGTTTGTGGTGCTTGCTCTCTTTGTTGCTGGTGGTAAGAATCTTTCACACACAGCATTGTTACAGCCATCTGTCTGACATACAGTTTGCAGTGTTCTTTTTTTAAACGCAATGCAGATTAACAGTTTGGTTTTAAGAGAGCGTATGTGTGTGTTTCAGCCTACGGGTGCGGCCAGCCAACCATCGCCCCTGTGGTAAGCAGGGTGGTTGGGGGAGAGGATGTCAGGCCTAACAGCTGGCCCTGGCAGGTAAAACATGCTCAGAAAAGATAACTGTCTGAAATATATTTATTTTAGACTATTGACTTGATAAGAGTTAAGTAAATTAAAGGTTTATAGTAAAGATATAAAGTATGTGTTAAGAATTGTCAAATTTTGAAAGAGGCAAGGCAATTTGTGTAGCATCCTTTAAAGACACTGCCAATTCGCAGTGTTGTCCATAAAGAGAAGAAATGCACGAAAGTAATGTTTAAAAGACAACAAAAAGGGAAATGTGTTTGAAAAAAGGAATACAAAAACAAAAAGATGAATAAATAATCAAACCAGAATTACAGTCAGGAAATGTTCAGTCAAAAATAAATTAACATTTGGAAGTCAGTGTGCATTTAATGGAGTATTACCTTCAAAGAAAACGTAAAGAAAGCTGATGATATGATGTTCATATGTGTGTTTTAGATTTCCCTGCAGTACAACAGACAGGGCGAGTGGAGGCACACCTGTGGAGGCACTCTGATCTCAGACCAGTGGGTCCTCACTGCTGCTCACTGCATCAGGTATGAAACAGTGGAGACCAAAACTCTTCATGCGTTCAAGTTATTAAATATGTTTTCAATACAGTTTCACTTTATCTAAGAAATTCTTAAAATCTAGCGACCAAATTTAGAACATAATTTAGTTATATAGGACACTAATTGAGCAGATTACTAGCTGATGGGTGAATGATTATTTTTTTCACTTAACAGTAGATTAAAATGCTTGTTTCCATATACAATTCCTGTTTGCCTAATGATTGTGTTTTACATTTACTAAAGAAAATCATTAGAATATGTAATTTTTTTAAGATGATCTCAAAGCCTATTCATCCCTGCTTCATATTCTTCTCTCTGTCAACTTGCAGCAGTGGCAGGGAGTACAGAGTGGCCATGGGAAAGCACAACCTGATAGAGACAGAGCAGAGCGCTGTGTTCATGGGCACCTCTAACATTGTTGTGCATGAGAAGTGGAACCCCTTCTTCATCCGGTAAATAAATAACATTTCATTTAGGTTGTGGCTATGAGTTATGACACTTATTTGAAAACGTATGTACAGTAAGAACGAATCCTAACTTATGTCTCCTCCCCAGTAACGACATCGCCCTGATCAAGCTGGAGTCCCCTGTCTCCTCCTCTGGCAGCATCATGGCTGCCTGCCTGCCTGCTGCTGGCTTCACCCTCCCCCATGACGAGCCCTGCTACGTCACTGGATGGGGTCGCGTCTACAGTTAGTGCCCATCTCCTTCCTTTCTTTGAGACAAAATATATTAAAATATTTATTTAATTGATCACTTGAAATATCACTGGATGAGGAGTAACAGGTTGTAGGAATTAAGGTTAGTGTAAAGTGTATGAGGACGATATAGCATTAATTTATAATTATTAGGCAGATTACACTTAGTATAACAATAAATATAATCAAATAAATCCTACTATTTATTATACCAACAGCTTGTTTAGTGTATAAAGGTTAGTGTACATATTAGTATTTAAGCCTACATTTTCCGGCACTACAAAAGTAATGTTGATTGATAATATATATTGATAAGAAAAAGATCTGGTGTTTGTAGTATATGTATTTATTTTTATCCATGGTTAAACGGTGGAGAGAAATTATTTGTTTGCCCAAAGTTTCTCACCAGTGTTTTACCTGAGATGAAGTTGAGGTATTGAGCATCTCTGCCCCTCACAGCCGGGGGTCCCATCGCTGACATCCTGCAGCAGGCCCTCCTGCCTGTGGTGGACCACGCCACCTGCACCAAGTCTGACTGGTGGGGGACTCAGGTGAAGGAGACCATGGTGTGTGCCGGTGGAGATGGAGTTGTGTCTGGCTGCAATGTGAGTGTAAAACAACACAATATGACACATTGTATTAAAGCACCATTCCAACATCAGTAAAATGGACACTGATGTTTCTTTAATCTGTAAATGCTGTATTTTTTAAATGATGATTCAAATGTGTTTTGGTGACTGTTGGTCAAACTCAACTATTGAAAAGCTTTTCAAACGTATCAACTTGGATTTGACAGTGTCAGGAAATTATGTTTGGCTTTTTCTACCAAATCATGGACATTTCATTGTTTAATCTAGAAAATCTACAGATAATTAATAGCTGTAACACATCCAGTACATGGGATAACAGTCGGTACCCTTATTTTTTTTTATTTGAGTCCTTTATCTGAGATTCTTCCTATGATACTGTATTCTATTTATCCAAAACTCTTAAAACTGTTTCTCCTCAAATGTTTCTTTTGTGTCAACAACATCCAGTATTTCAGATAAAGTGATTCAGTTAAAATGTCTAAGATTATATGAATAGAAATGTCTGTAAGTTATCATCAGTAACGTTAGATGTAAACACCAAGAACAGTCACCGAGTGTCTTTCTAGGACAAGACGTCAGTGTTAATTGTGGAGTTTGCATCATATGTTTCCTCTCACATGACTCAGGGGGACTCCGGCGGCCCTCTGAACTGCAGGAGGACTGATGGAGCCTGGGAGGTCCAGGGCATCGTCAGCTTCGGATCCGGGCTCAGCTGCAATTTCCCCAAGAAGCCCACCGTGTTCACCCGAGTCAGCTCCTACATCGACTGGATCAGCTCTGTAAGCTCCGACACTCCCACTAAAGCAAAAAGATTAGTTGAACAATTGTTTGTATTTACTATCATATATTTTTACTATTATTAACTTTTTCTTAATTTTTTTTCAAGATTATCTGTTTTTATTTTACTGTCAGTGAATATCTTCTGGGTTCATATACTGTCGTATGTGCTATAATATATTTTGTATACATATTAGAAAGAATCTGGATCAATTTAATAATCCTACGTAAGTATTTTTTGCTTACAACATCACTCTGCACTAAATCTAACACATCTATAATTTCTTCCACAGAAAATGGTGGCCTATTGAGAGGACAAGCTTTTGGCATCAGAGCCATGTAAAATAAAAATAAAATGTGGAAATATAAATCAAATATAGTGTCTTCTTTTATGTTTTGTACAGTTTTTGCCTGGATCTAAATGTACTTTTATTTTGACATACAGTGTATAAAACAGTATACTTAAAAAGTACAACGCATCCAATGTTTCCAAACAAGGCTAGTGCTGGGAAAATCCATTCGGTAACCACATGCTGTGTTATCAGACTCCACCGCTTGTTTGACTTTCTGCATGTGTGTGACACCCAGGTTATCCAAAAGTTGCTAACATTCAGTATAAATGCACGCCTGTTTTTAGCACAAGTTTTAAGTCCACACACACCCTACAGTCATGAGAAGACTGGTGGTCTTCGCTTTTTTGGTAGCTAGCGGTAAGACAGTTTTAATTCTCTAAGATAAATTACTCATTTTCTGTAGCAGAATCTAAGTGAATAGTCCCTTATCATTATGTATGTTTCAAAAGGGACATAATGTACAATGCAGATAACAGAGTGTTGTTGACATGTGCCTTTTCTTTTATATCAAATGTGGAATAGAGTTGAAATATTAATGATTTCAAAAATGTGAATTGTTTAAGAATCACCAAACCTTAACTGAAGTAAATTCTCGACTATAATTAATCCAAAATATATAATCACCTACTCGACATGTTTAGCCTGGTGCGAGAATCACAATAAACCTTCCTCACCTTGTCCCAGCCTACGGATGTGGCCTCCCCACCTTCCCCCCTGTGCTGAGCAGGGTGGTGGCAGGAGAGGACGTCAGGCCTCACAGCTGGCCCTGGCAGGTAAAGAACGGAATAAATATTAAAAAACGTTCACTCTGACAACTACAGAACATAGAAAAAACTAAATTATTACCACTACAGATACAAAAGTGACACCATATTTACAAATGTACACTATGAATCTTTTTTTTGTTGTGCTGAATTCCTGATAATAAGTTCTCCTCCAGAGAAGACATAGAGGGTGGAGAGATTAAATGAATGTGTAGCTTGTTGAAGAGTCATTATGCGTGTATTAATGCACACTTGTCCCCTCTCTCTGCTGTGCTCAGATCTCTCTTCAGTCGGACGGCAGTGGGCGCTGGAGGCACGTCTGTGGAGGGACCCTCATCTCTTCTGACTGGGTCCTCACTGCTGCTCACTGCATCAAGTATGTCAAACTGCACCCTGAAGGAAAGGTTGTGAATAATCACAGTTAAAATACAGCATGATATTGATTAAAGGCTTTAAAAACCACGAAAAAAAAGAAAAGGAATATTTTCCTCACAAAATGACCATTTGTAATAACCCACCACATGTTAGTTAGTATCCAAGAAGAAAGAGACGTTTGCTTCTCGCCTGTCTCCCCTGTAAACCAACAATCCAAACATAGAGCAAAGTCTTGATGAATGGAAGAAAATGGGAGCTGTGTTTAACAACAGCAAAACTATTTCAAAACATCTACTTATAAATGTGTATACAGCTTGTGCACACTTATCCAAGTCTTAAAATGTTCTAAACATCTGCATTTTTACTAAACATCAACACAGTTAGAAACTTCCGGACTGGTCCCAGACTCACAGGGATGAATGGGCCTGCACAGTGGGAGAAATGCAAAAGTATTTAAAATAGTAACGTTTTGTTGAAAATGTATGGGTTTAGAAGTATTGAGCATACCCCTGACAAATAAGATTTATATTGCGCCAGAACAAATCTACAGAGAGGGCATATGATTTTCATGGGAGGGCACACAAAACCGTCATGTGCCGCGGCCAGTATCGGTGCCAGAGATTTAAATAAAGTACTCGAATTCCGCTTACCGCAAAACCACATTCATGCACCGTCTGTTTTAACCGCAGAGCGAGTCGCAATAGTCCGAAATATAAGCATGAAGAACAAACAACCACGGCCGGCTTCAAGTTGTGTTCCCTGGATGAACTGAGTAGAGTTCCTGTAGCTTCGCGGAGCAGCTAGCAGAGAGACAAGAAGCTAACAGCAGCAGTCACTTGACAGAACTGTGGGACCACGCCCTAATATATGCATAACTTTAAGGCTTAATATTAATTAAACAGATGAGTTGAGAAAAAATTCACCCCCACAATCCATATTCATGAAGGGGGGATCTAACTATACAGAGAATATGGTTTTTTGAACCACGATGTAAACATGTTTATTTCTGCTGTAAAGTTGGGCATTTTAACATTGGGGTCTATGGAAATTGCTCCCTTCTGCAGACTGTTCCTACTGGCCACTAGATGAACTGCAGTGTGTGGCACTTCCGTATTGGCGTCCCGGCTCTTCCCCAGAGTTTGCCGCTTGGTTGGGGGTGGAGCTCACCTCCGCTAAGGGGGTCCGGGGGCATGAGATTTTTTTTTTAAATATTGAAGTTAAAAGCATCAATCTGGTGCACTTTGAGAGCAAAATGAAGAGATCTATGGATACATCTCTCAACACCATATGAAACAGAAATGCAAACAGATTTACTTTTTCTTTATGAATATTTTACAAATCACTCCCCTTTTAAACTGTATTCTCGTTTTAGTGTCATATAGTATTTCATACCTGTTTTTCATGTATTACTCTTATATTACTATCTGACATCACATACATCCTAGCATTAAAGTTCACAGTTTATTTATAATTAAACGAATTAAATAATTTGGGGTCAGGAATGTAAAATGGGAGGGCCCTCC